TTACAGCTAAATGTTATGAAAATTTATAACACTTAATAAAGACTAAAATAAAAAAATTAATGTGTTATGTGTCTAAATAAAAAAATAGAATAAGAACAAAAAAACAGAAGAAAAAATAGGATCAAATATATTAAAAACCACAACAATGAGAGAAAAGACTAAAATTAAAAAAAAGTTAGTCTAAATGAAAAAATATATATTTTAAGACAAAAAAATAGAAGAAAAAATGGTGATATAAAAGAAATAGAACAAAAAAAATCATAGTTATGAATTTCTAATATATTTTCTTTTATTTTTTTTCTATTTTTTTTGTCCTTGGTCTATTTTTTTTATTTAGATATGTTTGGTCTTTTTTATATCTCTATTTTATTCTCTCTCTCTTTTAATTTTTTTATGAAAATCTTTAATAGATGGGGTGGCTTAAGGCTAAAAAAAATGAGGAGAAAATCAGAATAAAAAAGTGAAAAAAAAAATCAAACATTTCTGAATAAAAAAGAATAAACTAGATTAAAGATAAAATAAAATAAAACTAAAACTAAATATATTGAAAACTCATAAGTGATTTCTTTTTATTCTATTTCTTTTTTATTTTATTTTTTATCTTAATTTTTTCTTCTAGTTTTTTGTCTTTGGTATTTGTTTTTCATTTGGACTATTTTCATTTTTATTTTATTTTAGTCTTTCCTGTCTGTTGTGATTTTTAATATATATATTTTCTATTTTTTTGTTCTTATTTTATTTTATTTTTTATACATTTATTTCCTTTTTTTATTTGAACAGATTTAATTTTTTGTACTATTTTTTTCTTTTAATTTTTTGTTAAGCGTTCAAGTTTTCATATTATTAGGTCTTATTTTTCTTTTTTTATCATTTTTTTCCTTCTAAGAAAGGTAAAATATGTATACTTAATTAATTTTCTAACAGTGTTTAAGAGGGGCTCGGATGTAAAAATCACAGAGTTAAATAATTAAAAAAATAAGGATGCAAGTTATCCAATGTAATACAAAATGATTTTTTATTAGGTTCGCTGCAGTTACTGTAGATAAGTTATCTGCAGTAAGTCCAATACGACGTCGTTTTGGGACGAAAATCATGGTATTTTTTTAATTTTAATTTATTTCAGAGTTATAATAGTCTTTATATTTATAATTTTTTAAGATTTCAATACCAAAACGATGTCGTTTTGAAAATAAATACAGACAATTTATCTGCATTAACTTCAGAAATATTTTTTCCTTTTTTATTATATTTTTTTTTTTACTTTTCCCTTTAATTTACACACACAAATAGGATAGGTACGAGAGAGAAATACAAATCCACAAATACATTCTATATATTGTTCTAATTTATTTTTATTCTATTCTTTATATAATAGTGGTGCCACCACTAATGCTTAATGAAGACCCTGTCATTCTCCATATGCTCGTTTCATTTTAAGCCCCCACAAAGGTCATCCTAGCTTTAGCATAATGAAACGAAACGTATCTGGACTGTTATAGTGGAGAGGTTCAATTACTACAATGGAGAAAATTTTCGAAAGCAACCAAAGTGTGGTTGCCTGGTTGTCTATATCTGACTTGTCATATGGACGTTTGTCCAACCAGATGCACGGTACCGCAAAATTGTATTCCTTAAAAATAAAATAAAATTGGCATCCTATATAATTATAGCACTCTCCTCTAAGATAATTAGCAACCATGATTAATTCCAAATTGTAAGTTTTGTACCTTTATATATTGGACACGATTGGTAATTTTATCATGATTAGTGAATGAATGGATCATATCTGCTTTTGGGTGTAATAGTGAAGTGAGTAACAAGTAACAACGCTTTGGAAATTGGAGATGATAAAGTGGGTGTGACCAACATTTCCACAAGTACAGTCGACATCCTTAACTTTAGCTTTGGCATTTCCCGCACGGAACCGATTTTAAGACCTATGTGACGTCTTTAATGGTAAGCATAAACCAGCACTACATATCTGTTCAATTTTTTTATAGCTCATATCAATTATTAAAGGAGGTAAGATATTATTATTTTTTTCTATTATCAATTCATTATTATTTTAATTACTATGGATAAAAAAAAATTTGGCCGATAATTTTTGTAAAATTCTAAAAAAAAAGTGAAAAGAGAAAAAAGAAAAATAACTTTTAATATTGTAATTATATACTCCCCAAAATATATAATTATAATAAATGATAATAGATAATTGTAGAAAGAAATAATATTATGAATATCCTACCTCTTATTAAGGTAATAGAATATTACTAAAAATTATGCTCCTACACTAGAGTTGAATATTCTCATAATATTTGATGTAATGAAGGTTTTCAGTTAATTAGTCTCCTTATATTTAAACCTCGTTTCCTTTATATTAAAAAAGAGCGAAGACTTTTTAACAAAAATAAATAAATAAATAACAAAAGCCAAAGTCCCAACTCACAAGTCACAAATAAAGAATTGCTGTCTTTGCTTAGTTCTGTTTGGTCCCCCTGGTCCTGTTCTGTCATTCCATGTTTTTTCCAAATAAAAAATTAAAAAAATTGCTGTCTTTGCTTCTCCTTAATAAGTAGCTCTTACGAAACTTATATGCATCCTGTATTTAACGGAACCTAAATTGAAGTTGAATCCTTTAAGTTAATTAATTATCAACTAGCCCTATTCATATCTATCTCACCATTTCGCTCTCCTTAATATATATATATGATTTTTGTGTGAGTTAGGCATTGCATAGTGCTCTAATTAATTAATTATGTTTATTATAAACTAAAGCACGTATCATGACTATGATAGAAAGTCTACTCCCAAATACCATGTAGTTGTCAAGGGCAAAGAGTAACGGACAAAAATAGTTCAAGAGATGCCAATACTATGGTATATATTATCTTTTTTATTTTAGAAGCTTGGTGTGGAACAGATCATGGCGATAACTACGTGGGCTTTATTTTGCAGAATTGCTTTATTGATGCGGGCATGCTAGTGCTACTCTAAAATTACAACGGAAACAAGACAAAATTAATATTTCAGTTGTAAAGTATTCATTGGCTCACATTTGACAGTGCTTTCATGATCGTTCATAAATTAATGAATTGTTTTCTTTATTCCTGTTGATTGCATGTACGAACATGATTATTCCAATAAAATTGATTAGAAGAACCATAAAAGTTGTCACAATCAGTAGCGCAGGAATCTCTCTTCTCCAGAATCAATTAACTAGTTTTCGGCACTCATTATTTAAACTCATGTGCTATATACTGCGAACATAACATGAATTTGCTTCCATGATTACCCCATAATGGGAGCTGGTAACAATAGAGACATATCACCAAAATAATTAAATTTACTATATAAAAAAGTATTAGATGACAAAAGAATAAAAATCAAATGCATTTGTTGAGGAACTATAGTCTACAATGCACTTTAAGAACAATAATACGGAAACTTATCGTTAAAATTTTTTATTTCTTAATTTGTGGAAGTAATGGATGTAAATAATATATAAAGAAACACGTATATTAATTAGGGATGGATTATATTTATAATTTTTTCATTTATAAATTACATTATATTTTGAAGAGTACATATTTTAAATATGGGTTCACTTTTTCTGCAGTTACTGCAGATAAGTTATCTGCAGTAAGCCCAATACGACGTTGTTTTGGACGGAAATCATGGTATTTTTGTAATTTTAATTTATTTCAGGGTTTTAAAATAGTCTTTATATTTATAATTATTTAAGATTTCAATACTAAAACGACGTCGTTTTGAGAATAAATGCAGATAACTTATCTGCATTAACTGCAGAAATATTTTTCCCTTTAAATATCTGTACTTTTCGAAATACATAGCATAATTTATAAATAAAAAATTGTAAATATAACAGGCTAAAATATAAGTTATTCCCTTGAACTTTGACCATGTTTTAAATTACCCTCTTGTACTTTTAATTATTTTAATTAACCCCATGTACTTTATAATTGTTTCAAATCAATAATTCTGTTAAAAAATTTACAAACTCGGTTAAACCTCCTCATATGCACTAAGCCCCAAATCTCAAAAATTTCTTCTCTATTTTCTTCTACGTTCTCCTATTGAAGATTAACGTAGAAGAATCTTCACAAAGTGATGGGATGATCTTGTTATTATTTATTCACAAAGTTTCCAGCGATGATCTTTTCTTCTACGATTTGGGATGATTTTTTCTTCTCTCTTTTCTTTAGCTCTTGATTATTTATTCACAAAGTTTTCAGCGATGATTGTTTCCCCTTCGTAGAAGATGTTAATATTTTTTAAGAGAGACCTTGGGAGAATATAGAAGAAAAGAGACACATTAATCTTCTCCGATCCAAATCGAAATCATCCCAAATTATTGTAATAAGAGATGAGATAACGTAGAAGAAAAAAGAGAATTTTTTTTTGAGATTTGGGACTTAGGGCATGTAATGAGGTTTAACAGAGTTTGTAAAATTTTTAACAAAATTGTTGATTTGAAACAATTATAAAGTACATGGGGTTAATTGAAAAAATTAAAAATATAATGGGGTAATTTGAAACATGATCAAAGTTCAAGGGGATAACTTATATTTTAGCCAATATAATATATTAATTAAGGGGGAAAAAAGTATCTAATGTTACTTTAGATAATTTTGTCTAATGTTTACCGAAACGACGTCGTTTTGAAGTTAAAAATTTTAAAAATTAGAATGATAAAGACTATTATAACCCTGAAATAAATTAAAATTACAAATATGCCATAATTTCCGTCCTAAAATAACATCATTTCGACAAAAATAGATAAAATTGTCTAAAATAACTTTAAAAAAAATAAACTCATTAATTAAAGTGTAAGTATATGTATGATTAAAGGGATATATGAATGGTGAGAATAATACCGTGTCAGGGTCACAATAGTAATTTCAGAGATTTCCTTTTCTTCAGTGTTACGACTTACGAGATAGAATACATGCGTTATATTAGTTGGCAACTTCTCCATTAAGACGGCAAAACATTGAGCTACACAACTCAGAGCTCAAAACTCTCTCTTGTTCAAAAGCATATCTATTGCAACGTGGTAGCTCTAGCAGTGATGGGGTTAGAGGGGAAGGAGGCTTCGTCGACGTTTATGAGGGATTTCCTTGACAAGTGTGGTGGCTGCGCCGTCATAGATGGTGGATTTGCCACTGAGCTTGAACGTCACGGTGCAGACCTCAACGACCCTCTTTGGAGTGCCAAATGCCTTATTAATTCCCCGCATCTTGTCCGAAGGGTACTTGTTTTTTTATCTTTATTCTTTCTCGGCTTTGTTTTAATGCATATTCATCACTATACAAATTGATCTAAAGATGTTAATTACTTATTTGCTTTAAACGAATATATGTCTATTTTTTTTTCGTGCCTATGTTATCTATTTTCATCACAAGCTATCATAGCCAGTGGCAACTGCAAATTTTGATTCAGTAATATTCTGAGTTTCTTTTTAAATTTTTCTTTTATTTTTTTTTAACAATAAAAGTATGTCAAGATAAAGGACAAAGAACTAGCCTGCAACGCACACATGGCAAATTATATTGTCACGCGTTAATAGCTATGCGTGTTTGGGGGGTTCGTGGCGTGTAAATGTCATTCTTAGGTGGCTGCCAACGAAAAGAGGTAACAATACATTCACCGTAAGAAGGATAAGCTTTAATTTAATTTGAGAGTACTACTCTCATGGCCTGCTATTTAATTTAAAATTTAATTCAATAGTTAATGGGATTAGTGTTTTTTTTTTGTTATATGAGATGATATTGACTCCTATACACATAAAAAATATGTGATCATATACATATAAAAATATCTGAGATTCATTTTTTTCTCTTCATATGATCCCATATGAGATCACACACTTTTATATATGTATAATAGATAAAATTATTTTTCATAAAATGAAAAATATTAATCTCAGATTAAACTTTTTACGTATCGTGTTATTAACTTAGTAGGAGATTAAGTATAATATTTCTAATTGATAATATTAGTTTGCAAATATAACACTTCTATTGTGTATTTTATAATTTTTCTAATTGAATAGGCGCAAGAGGTTATACTTTCATCTAGGCAAATTTATAGAATTAATGTTTCTCATATAATATGAGATAAAATTATCTCTTGCAACTTCAAAATAACATCTTTTGGGAATTTAAGAAAAATATATGGTATTTTTGTAAAATTATATAATACAAAATTTTTTTATTAAAATGTCTTATTTTTTTCTCAAAGCAATGTTATTTTGAGATTGCAACAAAAGAAATATTTTTCTTAAATTTATTTATGTTAATAATTTTATATTGTAGAAGATTATCAGTATCTAATGGGATGAGAACTTTGGTTGTTGTAGTATTAAATTACTAGTAAAAAATTATACTTAAATGTGTACTTAAATTCCTCTAAAAAATAAAGGCACCGGGCAAGAAGAAACCTTGTTTATTTATATGATATTCATGTAAATTATTTGATTTTGTAAGGCGGGTCCAGGGAAGTCCATGACGGAAGACCATTACCAATGGACTAAGTTACATCAACCATTGTAAGTGGGTCCGACACCACATCTTAACCAAAAGTCTTAAGGTTTTGGGTTCAGATGTGGTGTAGGACCCACTTGGTGTATTTGCTATAGCTTAACTCATTGGTGGTGGTCTCCCGCCATGGGCTTTCTCTGGACTTGCCTGACAGTGGTATCAGAGTCGGGTTGGGCTCGAGCTAGCCTGGTGATTGGTTAGGAGGCGAGTTGAGTACTTGGGCCCTAGAGTATTCGGTTGAAGGGGAGCATACCAATGGTGGGTTTCACACTTGAGGGGGGAGATTGTTGAGATATTCAAATGTGATGAGTCCAACGTTGGTTGGTAATGAGTTAAGTGAAAAGTATATAAGTGGATGGACCCATGAACCTAATGTCCCATTTGGTGTATTTGCTATAACTTAATTTATTGGTGGTAGTTCTCTGCCACGGACTTCCCTCTAAACCCGCTTGACATATTTATTCTTGATACGTAACATTTAAGGATAACCGTCACTTTAATTAAGAGAACTTTATCTTATAAAAGAAGAGCCTGACATGTTTGAATATGTATGATCAATCATGCAGTTGTTGATTACAACTTTAGATACACATTATACTGCTCAAACGAGTAGTCTAGTTCGGTGTTGTTTTTTTGGGTGGATATGAAAGAAAAAAAAAATTGTATCTATCATTGAATGGTATATATGCAAATAAAGAAGAGTCAGATGGATATATATTATAGGCAAATATTAATGAATACTCTTAGGGCATTTGTCGCATATATCATTTTTTTTCCACTTTATGTATTACATATTTTTTCTAAATAAATTGATTTTATCAAATATATGGTAATAAGGGAATTTAATATTCATCTAAAAATAGTTCAATCCTTTTTATATATTAAATCAAGGGAAAATATATTCTTATGCTGTTTTTCTCTCTGACACATACATCAATTTTTTTAGTATTATTTTTTCTTTTTTTATAGTGGATGAGTCCCACACATGATTATTTTATTGCATGAGAGAGTTCTCTTCTATTGTTTGAGATTAATAAAGCCCCTTAAATCAATCTAAGGATGAGAAACGTTCGTACTTCCCATTGGACTATACTTTTCTAACTTATTTCCTTGTGTATCAAAATATTCCGCACGAGAGGATAGAAAGACGAAAAAATTAATAGAAACATTAGGAAGTAAATTATGTATTTTGATGAACAAGTACAACTGTTCATTTCATTAAATTTAATTTGCTTAACGTGTAACAGGTTCACCTAGATTACCTTGACGCAGGAGCAAACATAATAATAACAGCATCTTATCAGGTAATTATCATCTGAGAATTTTCTCCTCCTTACAATGATAATCATATAGGTAAGTAGCAATCTATCAGGTAACATAATTATTATTATTTTTCCTTCTAAGACTTGGCTCTTTCTGGGGTTGGGATGCAGGCCACTATTCAGGGTTTTGAGGCCAAAGGGTTCTCTAGAGAAGAAGGTGAAGCTATGCTTAGAAGAAGTGTGGAACTTGCACGTGAGGCTCGAGAAATTTATTATGATAGGTGTACCAAAGATTCTTCTGACTTTATGAGAGATGAAAGCTATTGGAAACGTCCCATTTTAATTGCAGCCTCTGTGGGAAGTTATGGGGCCTATTTGGCTGACGGCTCTGAATATATGTGAGCAAATTAAACCAAAGTTCGGATCTTTGTTGGTTTCGATTAATATTCACTGTTTTCACCATAAATTTATACTAAATTGCAGACATACTTTACTAATTCATTTATATGAATTTAAGATGAGAACTTTCATGATGAGAAGTAAAAATAGGTGATCAACATGTTAAATCTGTAATGTTAAAGCAATTTTGCAGCAATATATAATGTGATGTTGGAGATGTTATTACCAGTTTTAAAGCCTCTTACCAATATGCTTTACTGTTGGAAAGAGGGCTCTCAATGTCATAGAATGACCCTCAGGACATAAATTTGTTTCTTGTTCTTTGCCTTCGAGTTTGAGTTTGATGAAGTTAAGGATCATGACTTTAGTCTATGTTCGATTGTCTCTCTTCACAGAGGAGACTATGGTGATGCAGTTACAGTCCAGACACTAAAAGATTTTCACAGGGAAAGGGTAAAGATTCTTGTTGACGCAGGTGCTGACTTAATTGCCTTTGAAACAATTCCAAATAAGCTGGAGGCAAAGGTATTTACCAAATCCCTGGAGGTTCTGTATCTGTCAAACAGACTTACCTATTGGTTACTTGCTTTTTTTTTTTTATATCTACGCAACTGTTAGAATCTATTATCTTGTGAGCAAAATACAGGATCAATTATCATTTACTAATACCATGGAAACTACCATTGCAAATTTGTCCTAGTTTCACCTTGATTTTAACTTGCAATTTAATATAGGCTTATGCTGAACTTCTCGAGGAAGAAGGCATAGAAATTCCTGCGTGGTTTTCTTTTAGTTGTAAGGATGAAAGCAATGTTGCTAGTGGTGAATCTATCTCAGAGTGTGCTTCAATAGCTGATTCATGCAGACAAGTCGTTGCAATTGGAGCCAACTGTACTGCTCCTAGATTTATTCATGGATTGATTTCATCTATTACAAAGGTGCGACTTTTATTTAAGAATGGGTTCTTGACACTACTAAAATGTGCTAATTAGCTTTACTATTTTGAATAACTTGTGAAAGAACCTAACTTGGTGGCCTTGTAAATCATTCTTACACTTTGTAGTTACTCAAATTATATAGTTTCGGTACTGTGGTTCCAACTTCCAAAGTTCATATGTTGCCTATTGTACTATCAATTTTCTTGTCTTCAATATAAACTGTTGTTAACTTCTATATGTTATGATGATAATTATAAATCTGATCCTTGTTCAATAAATTTTTAAATAGCAGGCAACAAGTAAACCAGTACTTGTATATCCCAACAGTGGAGAGACTTATATTGCTGAGAGCAACCAATGGGTGGTGAGTTCCTGCTTTTCTCTTTTTACATGGATGCAGATCTCTTATGTTCAAGTTCAACCAAAGTGATACCTTGTCACCATTTTAAATATATCTGAACCTCCTTTAATATGTTTGCACTTCCCAAGTTATGAATCTTATACTTGACAGTCTATAATTTGCAAAGCAAGTTTCACAATATAATCTGAAATGGAATAATAATTGAAAACAAATTAGAATGCACACACAGTGCTATCTACTGGAAGATTCAGATTTGTATGAATTCATAGATACAATTTGTGTTTAGTTTCATCAAATTGATAATCTAAAATTTATCTTGAAGAAATCAAGTCGAGGAGCAGAGGAAGATTTTGTCCCCTATATAGGCAAGTGGCGTGATGCTGGGGCTTCCCTTTTTGGTGGCTGCTGCAGGACTACTCCCAATACTATCAGAGGCATAGCTCAGGCAATATATGCGGAAAAGTTATAGGCAAATGTATATAATTGAAGTATGCTTTTGTAAATTAACAGAAACCTCCCTGAACGGGGCATACCAAGGGAAGTTTGTAAAAGAAAAGTCAAGGCACAATGTTATGCTTTTAGAGAATTTGTGTAAAATTTCAAAATATAAGAAATGGATATGTTTGTTTGAGTAAAATAAAATACATGGAATAAACACAACAGCACCTTAACTTAGTATTCTAAGATGTGTGCAGATGATCCTTCTGCATATGGACAACTGAGTATTATCATGTTGGCAAAAAATGTTACACTAATATGTCAAGCTGTAAAGATACTGCCACTTCCATTACTACATTTGCAAGGGAGTTCCAAACAAAACCACCACATGTTTTATGTGATGCAGAGCTCAAAAGCACAAACGTGGATCCTTTGGCTACAGCCTACAAGGAAGAAAAGATGGTCATCTTTGGGTAACCATGGATCCTTATGTGCTTGAAGAGAGCTTCCTCTCCAATTGGCTACTCCATGCCCATGATGAGTTTATATCCACTGTCCAGTCCGAACCTCAATATACCTTGTTTTTAAAATCCTTCACAAAATGGAATAGGAATTTGTGATTGTTTGCAACAAGGGCCCAAACTTGCTACTTTGGTGTTGGGATAACACATCCCACTGTAAACCATACTAAAATAAATCAAAAACGATATATTGTGAATATTTTCCTTTATCCTAAACAATTATTTCTAAGAAAAATGAAAAAACAAAATCAAAACAGTATAATAATGTGATAAAAGTTAGAGTCTAGGAGAACAGAATAAAAGAGAAAATAATGAAAATGGGGGAGATGATATATAAGATGTATTTGACGAAAAAATAATTTTATATTACTTTTATTATGTAGTTATTATATATAACCTGAAGTGTTTTTACTAATTCATTGGACAAAAAGTAAAACAAGTAAACTCTCAAGGGTAGCTCAGCTAACAATTGAGCTCTTAAGAATTTGCTTGGATAGGGTTCAAATCCTGACTCAAACAAATTTTTCAAAAAAATTTGGGGACAAAGAAATCGCCTTAGGATGAATGAGGAACGTCGTTTTGAATTATAAGATTAAAAAATTATAATGATAACGTTTTGGGTTATAAGATTAAAAAATTATAATGATAAAAACTAATATAACACTGCAATAAATTAGAATTATAAAAACACCTTGATTTTCGCTACAAAATGACGTCGTTTTGTGCTCACCGGAGATAAAATTATCTCCATTGACCGGAGAAATCCTTTACCTTTATAAGAGAAACTAAGAAAAAATTAGGAGAAATATAAGAAAAATATAGAGAGAATATATGGTGTAGTAATCAAATTTGTTTATTACTATTTAAATTTAGAATCGCACGTATAAGTCACATATTTTTACGAATTTATTGAACAAACATAAAATAAATTTTTTGGGTCATAAGTTTTTTTTCCCTAAAATATCATTGACAAATTAATGATTTATATCTATCTATACTTACTATAATAAAGACGATTCTCTATTTACCCAAAAAAAAAAAAAAACGATTATCTCATTTGGTTATAATTTTTTGGCTTTAATATTTATATAGTAAATGTAGATAAGTTATCTACATTCACTCTCAAAACGACGTCGTTTTGTGTTGAAAAATTAAAAAATTATAATGAGAAAGACTATTATAACCCTGAAATAAATTATAATTACGAAAATACCTTGATTTTCGCCCCAAAATTTCGCCGTTTTGGATTTAATGTAGATAACTTATTTACATTGACCGCAGAAAAAAATGAATCCAATTTTTTTTCCCTAAAATATTATTGACATCTAGTTAAACTGAAATAAAAAATTATAGAATTGTAATTACAATTTTTTTTTTTGAAATTTCAGTTATAATTAATTCGTTAAACTATTCTGTAGGTTCTTAAAGTAATACTTAATATCTGTCCAATGAATTCTAACAATTTTTTTTGAGTTTGCAAAAAAGTTTTTATAGTTTAGCAAAAAAGCTAACGGAATTTTAATAACTTTTAGTGAGTAAGTACATATTTAAATATTTTTGGTAGAAGGACTTATTTAAATTTTTTTAAAAGTGTAAATATCCTATTAGACATATTTAAATATTTAGTTAAACTATTTATATAGTAATTGATTTAACCTTAATTCTTTTATTACTTATTTTTAAAAACTTAAATAAAAAATAGCTATACTGCCTAATAAAAACCCAATAATAATGATCTAGATTGAACTTAATGCCTGCTGAGGTAACATACTTATTTGTTTGTATTTTTTAAAAAAAATTAATTAAAAAACATATCTAAAAATATTAAAATAATTTGATAATTTTAATAAAAAAACCCAAAAATTATAATTTTATTTTATCATAAATTAAAAAGATTAGATTAAAAATTTAAAATGTTATTTCTTTTAACTTGTCAAAACAGGCTTTTTCTAATCGAAACTGGTATTCGACAATGACGCAAATATTGTATGTATTTTATACTACAGCTGGAGGAAGATGAATGGTAGGTAGAAAGTTGATGGAGGACATAATCTTATAACAGTCAGATACCCCATAATTTGATGAGGCAATATGAATGGGTGGAAGCCACCACAAACGTCAATGAAAGTATCAAACTACTTAGGCTATATCGTTCCTGCAGTCACTACTTGTTAATGGTACAATTTTACCATCCACGAAGCTTTTAATTTTTATTTTGAGCCATTTGTATAGTAAGTTCATGATTGAGAAAAGCGAAAGCTTGGAGAGTTGGATCAGACAAAGTTAGTTTAAGGTCCAAAAATATATGATCCGAGGCCAGTATACTTTGCTTAGCTGATAAAAATGACCATGTGTCCCTTTTCATAGCCATCGGTTTAATGTGTAGCCGATATTTGATCCATAACAATTACACATGTTATATTATTGTATAATCTTGTTTTTCTTCTTGATAAATAATATTAGTTTGTGCAGAGTTCTCATAGTTTTTTTTTTTAAATAATTTCCAATTCCAATAATATTTTTATTACTACATTAAAGTTTTGAATATAAGCTTACCAAATTAATTTTAGGGGTATTATACCCTCCTACATAAACATAAAAAAATCTTACCCATTACTCTCTTTTTTAATTAGTGGGCCCCACAAGTTTTTGTTTCAATAGGAAAGGAAAATATTTATCTTGTAACAGGAAAAAATTTTACTCCATAATTTTAGGCAAAAACTTTTAGTATATAAAAGGAAGTGGACGGGTAAATTTTATGTTTATTATTAGTTGTGGATTTTTAAATACAAATATAATAAGGGCAAGACTGACTATCTATCTATCTCTCTTTTATATATATATATATATATATAGAGGTTGGATTCTTTGACACCGGTGTCAAATTTGAAGTTTGACACCTCATCTGAGAGCCGTTAGATCAGAAAAGATCAATGGTGTCACATGCTTACAAATCAGAGTCGTTGATCTTTTTTGATCTAACGGCTCTCAGATGAGGTGTCAAACTTCAAATTTGACACTGATGTCAAAGGATCCTGCCTCAAATATATATATATATATATATATATATATATATATATATATATATATTTTTTCGGTTCTATTAAACCGTATAATGATACCTCAAGGGTATGCGCTCAGAGATATCTTATGGATATAGTGTAGGAAATCTTAGATTTATGCGGAAGCGGTATAGGACCTAGTACATTGGTATGCTTACCGAATCATCCTTGTTTCACAATTACCTCTCGGTGCGCAGGTCTCGTGTAGAATCTTCCCTTGTAGGATTCCTCCTCACGAACAGCTCACCTCAGCGCCGCAGCACGAACAACCTCGTTGAAGCTGGACTGTGGCAGATCTTCCAGACTATCTCTCGAGGAGGATGAGATGGTTGTGTGGGCAACCGTTCAGATGATGAACGTCTGCCTCTTGGGGTTTGTTTCTGATGATCTGTTCACCTTGGAGGCACAAGAGGAGAAAACTATGAATATATACGCTTAGGTCTTAGACATAACTCAACCCTAAGCCTCATGGGCTCAAGTTTCACTGAAGCCCAATAGGACTTTAGTGACCAAAAGAGCATATATCCAACAATCTCTCACTTGCTCTTTAAGATACAAACTTGAGTTCGTAAACCCAAGACCATGTAGCCCATAAGCTATCATCATCTGATAATATACCTCAGCCCTTGTCTCGAGCTAGCCTGGGGACCTACCATTTGTCATTGATCAAGGCTCCTGATAATCTTTACAAGATTATCTAATTCGGCGCTACTCCACTAAAAGCCCGAACGTGAACTCCAAGATTAATGACCTTTATAACATTAATATGCATTGCCCCTTTATAGAATGTCTATAATTCATTGATTAGTTTTCTGTAACCCAATCAATTATTTATTCCCTTGACTTTGATAATTTCTCTAATGGATTACATGCACTGGCCAATGTCTTTAATATCCAAGTACCGAAATATATCAAGGGGACATTTCCTATAAATTCCTTGTTGTTTATCTCATAAATACTGATGATCAAATAATCTCACTCCCAAAACACCGAGTTATTGGCCGTCAAAAGATCAGACCTCACCCGTTGGTAAATCAAAGAATGAAGACTATTTAATTATTTATTTAAAATAAACACAAGATTAAGGGCAACTACATAACTATAGTTATCTGGAAATTTGATTCCTTATGACAGAAAGAACAACCTTAATCAAATCTCTCCTTGATCCTTTCAATGTGAATGTTAATTCACACCAATATTTTACAATGATTCGGACAATCATTTCATAAAATATTGCAGCCTGAATAAAGTGCCCAACTTTATTTAACGGCTGTGACTCCATTCATCATTTGTGAGAACCTATGATCATGTCCTCCATGAACGTATCCATATGATCATATACTCCATAATTTGATCCGGACCTTTATGTTTGTAAATAGTGCGCAAAATAAATAAATAAAACCTTATTTATGAAATTCAGAAAATGATTTTATTGTTTCATCGTCTTATTCCAAGAGCACAATAAAACCAATAACTCCCACTTGCTTAATGCAAGTCTGGGATCCTCCTAAGACCCAAAGAAGTAACATGCCTCTCGAACACAAGTTCAGGCAAACTCTTAGTAACTGGGTCTGCAAGATCCACCTCTAATGCTATCTGAGTTTAGTGAAAAACTCATAGCTCGAGGTTGATTTTCTTGAGTCAATATCCACTTGAAA